CTAACCTTCAATAATGAAAAAATAATATCACTCATAGATTAAGATAAAAGACCTAAAATTTTAAGATATAAATTTCAAACTGTAAAGTATAAATTAAATTAAATAATGTGGGATGTAAAATGAAATTAAACGCTCGAGAAAAAACTTAGGGGAATAAGATGATACACAAGATAGCTGGAGACCTGAAGTATTTTTTGAAAAGAAAAGTAAAGTAGACAAATTAATTAAATTTCCATGGATGGAGTTGCTTATAAAAAATTATAAGAAATAAGTGATAAAAAAAATAAAGAGAATAAGTGATTCAAAGGGAATTCAAAAGTGCATGTATTAAGTTTTTCCCTATTATATGTACACATGGCTTATATGCATCTTAATTGTATTTTAGGTTGATTTATGGTGAGGATAACAAACTTGTAGTCTAACATTCTGTTGGAATATTCAAGTGTGATGAGTCTCATATTGGTTGATAATGGGCTAAGTGAAGTGTATATATGTGAAAGGACCCATGAACTCAATGCCTTAAGGTTTTGGGTTGAGAGATGATGTCGAATCCACTTGCCAGCGTTAGCCTCGCTTAGCCCATTAGTGGGTGGTCCCCCGCCACAGGCTCCTCCGGACCCGCCTGACAGTGGTATCAGAGTCGGGTTAAGCTCGGAGGGTACTTGGTTGAGGGGGAGCATCCCGATGTTGGATTTCACACTTGAGGGGGAGATTGTTGGAATATTCAAATGTGATAAGTCCTACACTGGCTCTAATACCACAGTCAGGCGGGTCCAGAGAGAGGCCGTGGCGGGGGACCACCACCAAAGGGCTAAGACTATACCAATGTCAGGGGGTTCATGGGAGAGCTCGTGGCGGGGTACCACCACCAATGGGCTAAGCTATACCAACAACATCAAGTGGGTTCGACATCGTATCACAACCCAAAACCTTAAGGCATTGGGTTCATGGGTCCTCCCACTTATATGCAGTTCACCTAACTTATTATCGACCAATATGAGATTCATCACACTTGAATATCCTAACAATATGTCTTTTAAGTGTAAAACCCACCATTGGTTTGCTCCCTGTCAACAGAGTACCTAAGCCCAAAGTACTCCACCTGCCTTAAGCTTAACACGAAGCTAGTTCGAGTCGAACCTGACTTTGATACCACTGTCAGGCGAATCCGGGCGGGAGACTACCACAAATGGCTTAAGCTAGGCTAACCACACCAAGTGGGTCCGACACCATATCTCAACCCAAAACCGTAAAGCTTTGGGTTGTGACATGGTGTCGAACCCACTTGATATGATGTAGCCTTAGTTCATTGGTGGTAGTCCCCCGTCACGGGCTTTTCCTGGACCCGCCTGACAGTGATATCAAGAGTTTTGGTTTTAAAACTGGGGTTCCTGTGGCAAATTGGGGTTTTGCGATATAGGGTTTTTTCTTGGCGTAAAGAAAACTGCAAAATTGATCTGGAAAGGATGTCCACTGGCTAATCACATATCGATGTTGAAAAGTTCAAAGGAAAGGGGTTCGACTTATGGAAATTGAATGTGCAAGATTTGCTCGTTGACAAAGACGTGTGGTACGTGATCGAAGATGAGAAGCCATAGGTACCAACAAAACTGTCGGTGAGAGAACGTCGGAGGAAGGCGAGTCAAACTAGTTGAAGGCGTGGACCAAAGACGATCGAAAGGTGCGAAGCCTAATCTGATTATGCCTGGCAGATAACGTTATGGTGAACGTAACTTCTGAGAAGACCGCGAAGGATCTCTAGACAAAGCTAGAAAGCCTTTATCAAAGCAAGTCACTCGTGAACAAGTTGTTCCTGCATAGGAAGCTGTATAATTTGCAGATGAGCGAAGGTGATTCTTTCTCTGCTCATTTAAATGAATTTAACACTGTTTGTGTGCAACTTTCATCTATAGATATAAATCTGGATGAGGAAGATAAAACTTGCACCTTGTTGTGTTCACTGCCAAACTCTTGGGTGCACATTATTGTTTCAATTGGTACTGGCGTTAGTAAACTGTCGTTCAAGACGGTTGTTGCTTCCCTATTTTCTCAGGAGATGAGAAGGGTAGGTTCTAAAGGTACCAATAATGAGGTTCTGGTCGTTAGAGAAAAGAGTGGTGACAGATCGAAGTCTAGTCAGAAAGGAAGATCGAGGGGACGATCAAAATCCCATGATAAATATGAAATAAGGTGTTAGAGGTGCAAACAGGTTGGACACTTGAGGAGGAATTGTCGAAATAAAAGCGTAGGTCCTCTTGAGAAGCAGGATGATCCACCACCTTCTGGTTCTGGTACAAAAAAGGATAATGGAGATAGTGCAGGGACCTATACATGGCGTTCGATAATTATAGCGACTGAAAAGACTAGATCATTGACACTGGAGCATCGTTTCATATGAGACCTCGTAAGGAGTGGTTCTGCACCTATGAATCATATTCGGGCGGAACAGTAATAATGGGAGATGACACGACTCATACTATTGTAGGGCATGGAAAGGTAAAGCTGAATATGAATGACAGAATAATCAAGAATCTACTCGACGTGATGCATATTCCGGGGCTTACCAGAAATATGATCTCCGTTGGTAGTATGTCAAATACGGGTATTAATTTCAGCAGTGAAAGTATTCTTGCAAGCTGACTCATGGAGCTTTAGTTATTGCAAGAGGAAAGCGCCATGGTAAATTGTGGAAACTGTTGGACAACATAGTGTTCAGTGGTGAAAGCTACAGAACTGAACAGGCGAAAGAGGACACTGCTATGTTATGGCATAAGAGGCTGAGGCATATTGGAGGAAAAGGTCTGGAGACTCTAACATCAAAGAAGCTGGCGGGTGCAATTCTGAGCTGCTCTATGGGGTTTGAATTTTGCGAGCATTGCCAGCAATGCCAGCAAGGGAAGCAAAATCGGGTATCTTTTGATTCCATAAGAGTAAGAGCTTAAGGGATTATAGACCTGATACACAGCGATGTGTTTGACCCCACACCTGTTGCATCACATGAAAAATCAAGGTATTATGTTTCTTTTACTGATGATTTTTCTAGATATGTGTGGTTATATTTCTTGCGCAATAACGAAGAAATGTTCAATAAATTCTGCGAGTTCAAGGCTTTGGTGAAAAATCAGTTTGACCAAAAAGTCAAGGTGCTGAAAACTGATAATGGAGGAGAGTTATGTTCAATGAAGTTCAATCAATTTTATGCGAGCAATGAGATTGCAAGGCAGAAGACTACGCCCTACTCATCTCCACAAAATAGGGTGGTAGAGAGATTTAACCAGTCTCTCGTGGAGAAAGCACCAAGTATGTTGAGCGGTGCTGGATTGGTAGCTGAGTTTTGGGCGGAGGCAGTGGCTACTGCTTGTTATTTGAAAACATATCTCCTACATCGACCTTGAAGGAGAAGACTCCATATGAAACACTGTTTAGGAAGAGGTGAGACCCATCTCATATCAGAGTGTTCGGTTGTGAGGCATATGTGCACGTACCCAAGGAGAAAAAAAGCAAGCTTGACAGTAAATCAGAAAGGTGTATCTTTATTGGGTACAAGGATGGCGTCAAAAGGTACAAGTTGTGGAATCTTGATACTCAAAGTGTAACTTACAGCAGAGACGTTGTGTTCAGGGAATCTAAGCCGAATACATTTTTCCAAAATCTCCTGAAAGTCACATACTGTGGAGTTAGATGTGGGTTTGAAAGAGGATGCAGTAAACTCATAGGTTGGAGTGGAAAGTTCAAATTCTGAAGTTGCAAAACGTGGTTAAAGAAGAAGATTCTGAACTGAGGCTGAAGTTGAAGCACCAGTGCTGACGAGGTTCACAAGGGAAAGAAGATCATCTGAGAGGTAAACACATGAAGATTAGCCTATATGCTAGTGATGATAGTTGTGCCCTATTACAAATGATGATCCGAGCACTGTAAAACAAGTTAGGAGCTTGAAGGATGCCAAACAATGGAAGAAAGGCATGAAAGATGAAATGAAGTCTCTGATGAAAAATCAAACTTGGAGTTTAGAGAAACTACCTGCTGACCGAAAGGCAATTGGTTGCAAGTGGGTGTTCAAGAAAAAAGTTGGTGCCAATATAGAAATTGAGCGATGCAAGGCTCGTTTGGTTGTGTAGGGATACTCACAAACAGAAGGAGTTGATTATGGTGAGATGTTTTCACCTGTTGCGAAGTTGCATTCCATAAGACTCATTTTATATGTGGCAGCTGCATATGGCCTTAAGGTTTTGGGTTGAGATATGATGTCAGATCCACTTGGTGTGGTTGATGTAGCTTAACCCATTGGTGGTGGTTCCCGCCACGGGCTTTTCCCTGGACCCGCTTGACATTGGTATAGTCTTCACCTATTAGTGGTGGTCCTCCGCCACAAGCTCCCCGTGGACTCGCCTGACAATGGTATTAGAGTCGGGTTTAGTTCGAGCTAGCATGATGTTAGGCTAGAGGCGGGTGGAGTATTTTGGGTCTGGGTATACGATTGAGAGTGAACATACCAATGGTGAGTTTCACACTTGAGGAACAATTTGTTAGGATATTATAGTATGATGAGTCCCACATTGGTGGATAATGGGTTAAGTGAATTGCATATAAGTGAAATGATTCATAAATCAAATGTCTTAAGATTTTGGATTGTGACATGATGTCGGAGAAAGAGATTGTTGGGACCCATGAACCCAACACATTTTATCTTTGGGAGAGATTTAAATATCTCCATTCCTAACTCGTCTCGCATTTCGAATTAATTTCATAGCTGACTTAAAGAATCGAAACTTATAGGAATACGAGGAAAGTTAACTTGACTCAAAGAAATAATTATGGTTGGGTTAAGTAAATAAAAAAATCTCTTCCTGTGTCGCTGACTTTCCACTCTTAGCTCGTATTTTGGTACTTCTCTATCCACTTCAATTTCTTCTTTTTTTCCTTTTGCCCTTCTCTCTCTTTATTTATCCTTCCTTTCCCTTCTTCCACTCTTTGCGCATTAATAATTCCTCCTTCAATACCTCTCTCTATATATAGTTATCAATATCTGCGTAAGTTTTCTTCAAATTCCCAAACCTCTTTCTCCGAACAAGAAAAGAAAAGAAAAGAATTCAAAGGAAACGTCAAAGCAACTCGCATTCTATTCTTCTTCATCATCAGATTCCCTATTTCTTTGCCCTAGATTTTCTCCCCTCTCTCATATCACCGCCTTTCCGATCATTGATTCCTGAATTGCTCTTCCTCTTAGGGTTCCTTCGTTCTTTCGATGGACTCCGAGGATGATATGCACGACGCCAACGACATCGAGTCCCTTGACGACGATTTCTACAGTGGCGAGACCGAGGATGCTCCCATTGATTACTACAGCGACTACGATGACGACGCCGATGATTACTTCGAAGATGCCGATAGGGTTGAGTCTCGTCGCCCGGAGGTCCCTCTCTCTCTCTCTCACTTCTATTCTCAATTTTGTTCCTTTTCCGATTCTAAGAATCTTTTGATTCAATTTGGGTAATGTTGCCTCTGTGGAAATGGTTCTTGGGAATCACTTGGATGCTACAAAAATTTGATTTTTTTTTTAATTTCTGTAGTGTTTAGTGGTGGTGTGGCAGAAATTTATGCCTCACTGAGCTTCGTTTGAGAGTGGAGGGTGGGTTCAATGATTAAATGATTTCTTTTTACTCGTATTCATGAAAATACAATTTTTTTTCCTTCTTGGTTTTGCATGGATTGGATGTGTGTCCTATAATTTTAACTTTGAGACCTGTGCTGATGCGTGTTGCTCCATTTCCTTCTGCAATCTTATGCCAATTTCCTTCTAATTTACGGATACGGGTTTGGATTTCAGCAAAATTTCACCATCTTGAAGGAATCCGATATCCGATTAAGACAAGAAGAAGACATCACAAGAGTAGCAACGGTTCTTTCCATTTCAAGAGTTTCTGCCAGCATACTACTTCGTCACTACAATTGGTGAATTCAATTTTTTTAAACCCTATATTGGTTACGTTTTATATCATTTTCGTGTCTTTGTATGATACTGATCATACCATGTTGGCTGTTTTAAAACATTCTTTTTAATGCTGCATTTTTATGATATGTAAAGTTTTCGCTGCTTATTATAAACTCATGTTAGAGATGTAATGGTGTTGCAGGAGCGTCAGTAAAGTCCATGATGCATGGTTTGCTGATGAAGATGGAGTCCGAAAAGCAGTTGGCTTGTTGGAGACGCCAGTTGTCCAGCATTCTAATGCTAGAGAGGTGAGATATGGATGGTTGGGTTTTCAAACTGGTCAATAATGTAGTTGGATTTTATTTTTTCCTGCTACTTGGGCTCTGTTTGTATTTCACTTTTATTCTTCGTTTCTTCTGTGGCCAGCTTACTTGTGGCATCTGTTTTGAAAATTATCCTCGTGCTAGGATTGAAATGGCTTCTTGTGGTCATCCCTACTGTGTCTCATGCTGGGAAGGTTTGTCTTGTGTGCTATCTCTCTCTGTTCTTTTGTGACCTCAGATATAATCTGGACATTGAGCAGAATATATGCATTTCTTTTTCGTTGATGGAATATGCATTTTGGTTTTGGTTATCTTTAATTTTTTTTAGGTAGCTATAGCTTAGGTGTTTGTCAATTTTTTTCATTTAATCCTTCAGATGTTATATGCAGTTTTTTTCTTTTTCTGTCATATCATGTTCTTCTATCCTTTTCTACATGCTAGGATATATTGGCACGTCCATTAATGATGGTCCTGGATGTTTGATGCTGAGATGTCCTGATCCCACTTGTGGTGCTGCTGTTGGTCAGGATATGATTAATCTATTAGCATCCAAAGAAGATAAACATAAGTATGCCCGGTATCTTCTTAGATCTTATATTGAAGACAATAAGAAGGTATGTACTAAATATTAAAGGGAATATTTAATTTTCTTTATACTGCCAATTGAAATCAATGTGACTGAATGGTGGCCATGTTTCTTTTTCATTATGCATTCATAATTCTTTGCATGTTGAGTCAAGTGTTAGGCATTTATAATATCCTGGCTAAACCAGGATGTAAATTTCTAAATTATGTGATTATAACTGTTAAAGAGTAAAAAGGAACATGCATTGTGAATAGTATTCTAATAGTGATAGGTTCCAATATATATACGCACCACGTGTGATTGAAAAAGGAAACAAATCAATCCTAATTAAAAAGGAAATAATAATTAATCCTAATTGATTGAATCCCATAAATTAGGGATTTGACAAAATCTCTTAATATATGGAAATAATCTTCTGATTTCTTACACTCCCTCTCAAGTTGGGAGGTATATGTTGATCATTCCCAACTTACAAATTCGGTCTTCAAATGGTGGTCTACGTAGACCTTTATTATGGATGTCTATTGATTGCTCTCTGGTAGGAGTGTACGTCATACATACACTTCCATCATCTAATTTTCCTTGGTGGTATTCAGAAACAGATACGTCGAACTGATTTGTAGTTCCATGGAATTGGTTTGCCAAGCCATCACTAAGGAATTATTAGTCTCCCAATCTTCATATCTAGGATCTTTCCTAGCGGGTTTCTTCACATTCTCATTGAGATAACCCATCTTGTCCTTAGCCTGGATGAGCATCTTGACCAATTGTGACCATTGTAGGAAGTTTTTTCCGTTCAACCGGTGATTGGTGATCTACATTGCCAAGTTTTCGCCTGCGGACGACATATTAGGGCTGGGAGACATGCCAGAAGAGCTGGTGGATGAAGCCATAGGAAAGACAAGGTCTTGGAATAGTAACCCATAAGTGAAGTACCTCCGTTTCAGATTCAAGGCCTGAAACAGGAAGAGGAGGCACCGATCTGTAGGATGGTATCAGTGGCAAGACGAAATGACGGCTGGAAGGCAGTGCGTGGCTGCAGCTCCATTGCTGAAATTTTGTGGGTCGACTTGGAATCTCTTTCTGGGTTGTTTGGTGCCGTTATTTTGTTGGTTGAACTTTAGGAACGTTAGTTTTTGGGGTTGGTAGTGGTTGGAGATGTTTGGGTATGGTGGAGGGCTTTGATTTTTCAACCTTGACAATGAGAACCTTGATAATGGCTAAGTAACAAGGAAATTGAATCTGCTATTGACACCATTTTAAAGAGTAAAAAGGAATATGAATTGTGAATTGCATTCCAATAGTGATAGGTTACAACATATACACACACTACATGTGATTGAAAAAGGAAACCAATTACTTCTAATTAAAAAGGAAATAATAAATGATCTAAATTGATTGAATCCCATAAATTAGGGATTTGATAAAATCTCTTAATTTATGGAAATAATCTTTTAATTGCCTACCATAATGGTTCAATAGTTATCACATTTAATAATAACCTACTCATGTTTCTAAATCTTTATTAATATTTTTATGTTTCACTGTCTGACTGTCATAATTATCTTATTTCTTCGACTTCCTTTATTTTGTCTAGTCCAAGTGGTGTCCCGCTCCTGGTTGTGAATATGCAGTTACTTTTGATGCTGGTAGTGGAAATTATGATGTCAGTTGCCTCTGTTCATATAGCTTTTGTTGGAATGTAAGTTGTGTATCGATTGTTTCAGATTGCTACAGTCTTGCATTTTATAATATTACTGTTTGTTCTGAGGACTGATAAGATGTGTCTTTGGATCTACAGTGCACTGAGGAGGCTCACCGTCCAGTAGACTGTGGCACTGTGGGAAAGTGGATTTTGAAGAACAGTGCAGAGTCTGAAAACATGAACTGGTACATATTTCTGGAAGATTTTTACTCATACAAATTCCTTTTAATAGTTGAAATAATGCGGTGTTCTCAAGAATTGCAGATATCTAATATTTAAAAGGGACACTTAATTTAACTGGAGATTATTTGAGGGTTGGAAAATTATTCATATTTTTATGCTTGAATCAGGTTAAATGTTAGCTAAAGGGGTGAGACCTTACTTCATTTGAAGGAATGAAAGAAATAAAACACATAGAGCCATGATGTACTTAATGTTTGGATTTTCTTTACAATTTTACTAGATCAATTCTTAATCCCTGGAATATTAGGATTCTACATTCTCTTTACCTCTTTCGTGATCCTTGAATTGCCTCCATGTGTTGCATTTCTCTAAGAAGTCAAGTATAAACTGTGGCTTTTTGGATAGTTGAGACTTGAGAGCCTGAGCTTACTGTTAATTTAAATAACTTTCAGGATACTTGCTAACTCAAAGCCATGTCCCAAGTGCAAGCGACCGATTGAAAAAAATCAAGGGTGCATGCACATGACATGCACTCCACCGTGTAAATTTGAATTTTGCTGGTATGCATTTTCTTTTCTTTTTCCCTCATAATTTTTAATAATACGATGTTGCATGATCCCTCTTCTTCTTTTCCATTATCATACTTTTCGATGGTTGGATCATGCAAATAGTGGGCTTTTTTTTTCATGGGGATGAAATATGAACCTTTTTGGCCCCAAGAGTTTGAGCTTATATGAGTTTTAATTGAATTTGATACATTTTATCTACATAGGCTATGCGTTGGTGCATGGTCAGACCATGGTGAAAGAACTGGTGGTTTCTATGCTTGCAATCGTTATGAAGCAGCTAAACAAGAGGGAGTGGTAAGGGACATAGAAATACTCAACTTGATTCAGGCTTCAAGCTACAATTAGCTTACTGTTCGGTCCACATCTATCTGGATAATGGCATTTTCTTAATAACTAAATTTTGTTGCATGTAGTATGATGATACTGAAAGAAGAAGAGAAATGGCAAAGAATTCGTTGGAGAGGTACACACATTATTATGAGCGGTGGGCCAGCAATCAATCCGTATGCACCATTCCACACTTATTCTGTTCAGTAGTCATGTCTTAGTAATTTGTCTTTGTTACAATTTCTGGATTGTTCTTCAATAATTTAACTTTTGCTAGCATTTCTATCATTTCAAGAGCTAAATGACTAATTTTAAGTATATTAAATTGTTACATGATATTTTCATCCATAATCTTCATGCGTATTTTGTGACCAAAAGGTCACGGTTTCGAATCCAGGAAATAGTCTCTTTGTAAATATGCAAAGGTAAGGCTGTGTACAAGGATTGTCTTCACCTCACCCTCGCTAGTCGGGGTTTAATGGGGAGTGGTTTTTAATCTTCATGCGTATTTGCTTCATATTTGTTGGAAATCTAATATAAAAAACTGTTCATGTGTCTTGACATAATAATTTAAGCTGTTATGAGAGTTTGTGTATCAAAGCCTTTATGACGAAGTGGTCTAAAGTTCAACTCTTATGGCTCTCATTTTCCTAATTAAAAATGGAATTTAAGCACAAGATAAGCGGTTGCTTCAAGCCTAAAGCTCTTGTGTGAGGGGACAAAACCATTCATGTACTTTCATCTATCAGCTTAAACTTTTAGGAAAGTTGATCTTTGGCAATGTTGAATGCCTGAACTAATGAAGAACATTTTAATATGCTTTATATTTTCGTTTTTTTTTTCGGTGCCTACTGTTTGGAAGGTTATCTGGCTAATTTTTTGTAATTTCTTTCTTGATGGATGATGATTTGTTCTTGATTCTCTATTTTACATTGTTCTGTGTTATTATTATTTGGTTATATTCTTTATTGATATAATATGTTCAATGTACTTTTTCTTGTCTCACAGTCAAGGCAAAAAGCTCTTGCAGATCTACATCAGATGCAAACTGTTCATGTATGTTACATATACATTTGTCATGTTCATACATCTCTTTTTTTTTTTTAAATTTATATATATATATATATATATATATATATAGGAGGGATCTTTTGACTCCGGTATAATACTAAGAAGTTTTATTCTCTATCTCAGCCGTTGATTTTCATCTATCTAATGAATATGATTTTTTGAGTTATATCAGTTAATTAATTATCAATTCCAAATAAATTATAGCCGTTAGATAGACCGAACTCAACGACTGAGATGTGGAATAAGACTTTTTAATTCTACACCGGAGTTGAAAGATTCCTCCTCATATATATATATCTATAATGTGGCTTATACGTAACTTTTGACAAATGAAAAAACATTTTCTTTTCTGTACTTGTAATATATTTTTTTTAAGCTTGTTTTGCAATGTTCATGAATATGCAATTTCGAATATTGTAGCTTATCTTTTCTAGTAATAAATAAGCAAATATTAATTTTTTTCTACTTTTGCTTCTTGTGTGGTTTTTTGTTTATTCTCCTGGTGAATAGTGATCATATAATTGCTCACTAATCCTCCTCTTGTTTTTTTTTGTTTTTTTTTTTTTGGGGGCCAGATTGAGCAGCTTAGTGACACGCAGTGCCAGCCTGAGTCACAGCTTAAGTTCATAACTGAGGCCTGGCTACAGGTAAATGATATATATATGGTTTAGTTTTTCTCTTGCTGGAGAAACACTAAACTTCCTGCGGAGACATCTTAAATCCTGCTGGCTTTTAATTTTCTTTTCTTTTCTTTTTTTATTGTATGGACCCACACATGTATGTTTCAGCAGGAAAGCTAATTACTTCTCCTGTACCAGGAGAAGAAATTAACCCATATATATATATGTAATGGATTTATTCAGATTACTTTGTGAAGAATTATGAAGCTTTAACATGTGTTTTTTGACTGAAAATGAAGACCAGTTCTTCTTACCCCTGGGGGAGAATTGCTAATGATCTTACTTTTAATTGAACTATTTCCTGAAGCTGGTCATTTCATGAGAAATTTTAAGTGTTTATAATCTTTATGATGGTTTTCATTACTATAGCTGTAGGGAATTAAGTGACAGCAGAAGTTCATTTCAGGGTGAAATAGACGGCTTCCTAATCAGTGTTTCATTTTTGCAGATAGTTGAGTGTAGGCGAGTGCTGAAATGGACGTATGCGTATGGGTTCTATTTACCTGAGCATGAGCATGCAAAAAAACAGTTCTTTGAGTACTTACAAGGTTTATTTTTCAACTTGAATTTAATTAGAAATGAGTCTTGTTTGTGGTGGTTCCTTAGAAGTAATACACAACTATAATTTGTTTTCAGGTGAAGCAGAATCTGGCCTGGAGAGACTTCATCAATGTGCCGAAAAGGAACTACAGCCATTCCTCAGTGCTGATGGCCCATCCAAAGAATTCAACGACTTTCGGACAAAGCTAGCTGGATTGACTAGGTATATATTGCTCCTATTTTGTTAAGCATTTGTCTTGTGCCCTTGTTTTTCTTTTTTCATTCATGAATATTTTGGTCGGTTCTGATTGGAATTTGGCTTTGAATTGATTTTCTGATATATATGCTTTGGCAGTGTGACTAGAAACTACTTTGAGAATTTAGTTAGGGCATTAGAGAATGGTCTATCTGATGTGGATAGTAATGGAGCTGCCTTCAGCAAAGCAACAAGCTCAAAAAATTCTCCAGGGAGCAGCAAGGGGAGAGCTGGAAGAGGAAAGGGAACTTTTCGCGGAAGAATGTCTGATGATAATCATTGGTTTTGTGAGCATTGTACCTATGCAAATGTCAAATCTGCTACCATATGCCAGATTTGCAATCAACAGCCGCGATGAAAATTTGGGTTATCCATTAGCAACACTTGTCTCCTGCCCCCCCAAGGCCTTCGCACCAAAAGCTGAGTTGGAGTTTTTACTCTTTTTATGTCTAGTTATATGCTGGGCTCCATTTTGTGAGGCTATTAAACATGTCAACAAGATAAGGGAGCAAGGCTTGGAAGAAAGGTTGCCCTCCTCGCAGTCCTATTCAATACACAACCCAATTTGTTGTATATAGTGTTCTGTCTTAATACTTACGTGTGGGGGTTCTGCTACAGGCTTTTGTAACTGAATATCATAACACAACAGATGCTGAAGATGAGCACAGATATGCTTATCTGTGTCCCTTAATTTCTTTCAGTTCAGTTAGTCTCTCTTGGCAGCTTCTTTGAGATACCTAGAGTTAGTCTTGTATGAGCTCGGGGTTTGGTTACTTTTTAAGAAATCATGATAAGGGACTCAAATAAATTCTATGCCATATCACTTGAAATTTTTAGCACCTTTGTAAACTTTGTGCCTGCTAACCTAACAAGGTAGAAGCGCTGATACTGCTTATTTATGCTTTTTTTGACATAGAACTTCTCTTCCCTTGCGGGTCTTTTTCGTGTATTAACGTGCATCTAGTGAATTCCAGGACGCTATTCTCCAATAAAATTTCCAAGTCACTACCTGAAATTCAGTAAGTATAGCTTCTCATAAACAAGATTGTAGCATTAGTTGGGCGATTCGTGGTTAGGCTTTCCAAATTATTTTGAAACCTTGATCCTAGGCCATCTTTATTCTATTACTGAATTTTTCCCATTGATACCTCATTAACAATGTATATACTCATCTAACCGTCAATTAGTGAAACATGTAAATCAATGGCTAAGAAGAATAACCGGGAATACCTAATCTAACCTTTCATTAACGAAATATGTATATCAATGACTAGGAGTAACCGGGAACCTGTTGAGCAGGTAGTCTATCAAACGTATTGATTGCATATTTTTCCTCAATTTTTGGGAAATTTTTAAGGAAAAAATGTGTATCATTTTAAATGATGTAAAATTGTGTCATTTGAAGTCGGAGAAAGAGATGGATAAAAGAGGAGAAAGAGTGGATAAAAAAATATAGTATAGGTTTCACTTCTTTGTGAGAATGAAATGATATAAGTTGTGTTATTTAAAAGGACAAATATTTTTTTCAATTTTTAAAGTAGCAGTTTTGCACAAATATATAGATGGCCCAATGGGGAAATATGCGGACCAGCCGACATACCATTACTTCTAACATGTTCGGTAGAAATCCAACATATTTAAGCAATATGAATCAATCAATGTATTTTACAAGACGAATTTTACTAAATTAGAACTTCTGGATTTTACTATTAAACATCTGAAGTAAGAACCTTTTTTTTTTTTTTTTGGTGGGGGGGAATTTGCATTAAATGTATAAAAAAATTAAGACTATAAAGTATTTTTTGTTTAGATTGATATAACACCTAATAATTAATTGAAAAATTCTCGACTTAATCAACAGCACGAATGTAGTTTTTGTAAGGCGACCTCCGGGAAATGAGTACTAAAAGACATAGAATACTAGTTATGATAACCGTGAGTCATGTATAAAAAAAAATAAAAAATTATGATACCCGTGAGTTAATGAGAATATGCTAAACTCCATTTTTGGCTTACTTCTACCTAAACTAATTAGTAGTTAACAAATAGGTGAGGTTGAGACTTTTTGAAATACATATTTAAGTAAGTAATTAAAGGAAGGGAAAAATGTTTCTGCAGTTAATGCAGATAAGTTATCTGCATTTATTTTCAAAACGATGTCGTTTTGGTATTGAAATCTTAAAAAATTATAAATATAAAGATTATTATAACCCTGAAATAAATTAAAACTACAAAAATACCATAATTTTCGCCCAAAACGACGTCGTATTGAACTTACTGCAGATAACTTATCTACAATAACTGCAGAAAAAACGAACCTCAAAGAAATATTTGGACTTTTTGAATGTTTGCTTTAGTCCCGTTTACTATATTCAATAAATCTCATGTAAATTTTAAATGGGTATTTATGTTAATATGTGTCTATCTTGTTTATTCGTCTAATTTATTCTTTTGCTCGTTTAAGACTATTTGAATGTTCACATTCTTTCAATTACCCCATTGGTAATGAATCTTAATTTTTCTTTCTGAGTAATGTAGCGTTTACAAATGTTTTAAATTAACGAATATATAATAGTGTACCCAAAAAAACAAAAAAGTTAACGAATATAACTATATTGATATGGTAAATTAGTAGTTAGTGGGGGATTGTTTAGCTAATTTAGTAAACTTCAACAATTTTTAAAAGCTGATTTTGATATTTTTAGTGATTGTTAACCATATGTCGTTTCACTCCATGAATACATGTAAACCGTTTCTTCAATTCCTTCTGTCATTAACCGTTTCTCTCCTATATATTTGTTTCTGTTGTGTCTTTTCTAATATTGGGTCACCTTTATTTGAATTATAATACTCAAATTAGCTTATTTGTCACGGGGAAGCACAACATTGTGACAACAAACTTGATCACACTCACAACGAAACACTAAGCTTGTAAATTATGTTTGTTGCTGTTTTTAACAACCTGTTTAATTTCACTAGTGTTAATTATTATAATATCTCAATGCATTTGCTTCTTTTTTTTTCACCTTCTGTGTCCATTCAATTTTATTCTCTTTTAATTATTGCATTTTCTTCTTAGGAGTTAATTGAGTTTAAGCAAAATGCCGATGTTTGTAAATCAGACTCTATTTGCATTCGCTACTCCAATCGAATCAAACCATTCTGCAGCATATAATGTTTGCATTGATATTCCGCCCCATATTGTCTCAGATGGTTTTTGGGGAGGACACCAAACAGAAGGGTCACCATTAAAGTCTTCTTTTCCAGTATTCATGCTTCAAATCATTGTAATCTATGCTGTTACACAGCCTATCCATTTCCTTCTTAAGAAGTTTGGTTTACCTGTGTTCATTTCTCAAATGATGGTAAGTAAGCCTAACTGCAACATTAATTGGTTATTTTCTTTGTTTCCATTGTTTCAATTTCTCATTCAACAATTTCCAAGATGTAAGAATCTTATATATGTCATATATTGTAAGTAGGAAAATTAACATAGATCGATCAAATAATATTACTAATAGAGGTAGGTTATATAATTTACAACATTTTCTGTTATCGTTGGATCAAAATCAAATTAACAGTTATAAAATGACATCAAGTGAGAGCAGTTGATTTGATTTTAATCCAAAGATAATGAAAATGATTGTAAAAATAGGTGCTTAGTCCTAGGATTTCTGGTGTTGTGTTTTCGGTTCCTTACTAATAGCATTCATTATAATAAGGCGTGGTGAACCTGAGCAGTAGTAAAGATGTTCTTTCATGACTGAAAAGTCATGGGTTCGAAATCAGGAAATAGTCTCTTTACAATTATACAAGGGTAAGACTGCGTACCAGGATTATCTCCACCCCACATTCACTAGTCGGGTTTAATGGGGAGTAGTTTTTTTTTTACTAATAGCATTCATTATTAATCCATCCATGCTATAATTAAGTTAGACTGAAATATGATTGTGATAAGACTAAAAAAGTTTTGAATTGTGTTTGTTTGAAGGCTGGGATACTTATAGGACCATCGTTGAATGTATTTGAGCAATACAAGATGATGCTGTTTCCTTTTGGAAGTCAGGATACACTAGCAACAATAACATCACTTGGTTATGTACTGTTCATGTTTGAGAATGGTGTGAAAATGGATATTGGCATGATATTCAGGACAGGAAAGAAGGGATGGGTCATTGGTTTTTTAGGGTTGGCAACACCTCTGATAGTTGGTTATGCATCTTACAACTTCGTGACAAAAAATGTGGGGGCAACTTTTGGATCCAAAAAAAATGCATTCGGTGTTGTATTGATAACACAGAGTATAACTTCATTTGCAGTGATTGCTTCGGTGCTGAATGAACTTCAAATACTAAACTCTGAACTTGGGAGACTCACATTATCTAGTTCATTGGTGGGTGACTTATTAAGTAACATTATTTTGGGTATTGGCTCAATCGTTGATAAATCACCCAACAGTAAGGTAGTTGGCATAAGTTTGGGAGCTACAATTGCCTTGATTATAGTCATTTTCTTTGTCTACCGTCCTGCAATGTATTGGGTGATTGAACACACACCAGAAGGCAAAGAAGTGGATGATATTTACATTAATATTATCATTGGGATTCTCTTTACTTTAGGTGCCTTTTCAATGCTCATGAATCTTGAATTTTTCTTTCTACCTTTTCTTTTTGGATTGGCTACACCAGAAGGACCTCCATTAGGATCTACATTGGTTAAAAGGATTCAACTCTTTGGCTCAGAATTGTTTTTGCCAATCTACTTTACTATCTGTGGAATTAAGGTAGATCTTTCTGATTTTGTTTCGTTTCTTCCAACTGTTGCCCCGATTGTTCTTCTGGGTCATCTAATCAAAATGGGAACATGCATGGCATCTGCACTCTATTTCATGGTGCCTTTTAATGATGCTCTCTGTCTGAGCCTTCTTATGAACTACAAAGGTGTTCAGGAAATTAGCATGTACAACGCTGCACTTGATAAAAATGTACTACAATTCCTCCTCCCTCTCTCTTTCTCTTTATATAAATTTATATACAATGGCAGATTATTCTTACAGCAATGTAAGAAAAAAAAAGTTTTATACTATTTTGGTATTGAATCATGACGGAGTCACAAAATAATTTTAACCCGTGTCAAAAGAATTTAGTTAGTTAGTGTCAAGGTTGTATCATTTTTGAAAATTCAGCCAATGACCATAATATTTAAAGAAAACATGTGTCATTTTTTAAAAACAGCCTATGCCAAGACCTCAGCTGGTCTCAAGGTGACTCCACCATTGGTATTTATTCACTTATATGCAATGATTCATATAACTAAAATATATTAGAACTGTTAGATATAAGTTATATCAATGATAAAAATTAAGAGTGTAACTTATACATAGTGTAAAATAATCCTGACTCATCAATATATATATATAGAGAGAGAGAGGGGTAGGATCCTTTGACACCTCATTTGATAGTCGTTAGATCAAAAAAGATCAATGATATCACATACTTACAAATCAGAGTCCTTGATCTTTTTTGATCTAACGGCTCTCAAATGAGATGTCAAATTTGAAATTTGACACCAAAGACAAAATTAAGCTAAATATTTATGTCACTCTGTCTATATATATATATATATATATATATTTGTGTATGCTTTTGGAATTCTTAAATTTTTGATTTTATTTTTCGCTCTTGATCAAATACTTGTGCAGGATCTCCACAGCCAAACTTATACAACAATGATTACGATAGTCATGGTAATAAGCAGGTGGAGATCCTGCACAAGTATTTGATCAAGAGCGAAAAATAAAATCAAAAATTTAAGAATTCCAAAAGCATACACAAATATATATATATATATATATATATATATATATATATATATATATATATATATATATATATATATGTGTATGCTTTTGGAATTCTTAAATTTTTGATTTTATTTTTCGCTCTTGATCAAATACTTGTGCAGGATCTCCACAGCCAAACTTATACAACAATGATTACGATAGTCATGGTAATAAGCAGCATTTTATACGTGTTGGTGAAACGTTTCTATGATCCTTCCAGGAAATATGCTGGCTACCAGAATAGAAACATTCTAAGTGTAAAGCCCAACTCATATTTTCGGATACTAGTTTGCATTCACAAACAGCACCAAACAATTCCTATTATCAGAACCCTTGATCTATGTTATCCAACAGAAGAAGATCCTATAGTCGTGGAAGCATTGCATCTAATCGAACTAGTTGGTCTTTCCTCACCCATTTTCATTTCTCACAAGCTGAAGAATGGTGAAGTGCGTAGCTCTTACTCTGAGAATGTCATTCTTGCTTTCAAACTCTACGAAGGTGATAAACCAGGTGCAGTATCAGCAAACCCTTACACAGCCATATCCCCACGTAACTTCATGCATGAAGATGTTTGCAACCTTGCATTGGACAAAGTTGCATCTTTTATTATTCTTCCCTTTCATAGAAAATTGACCAATGATGGCAACATTAAATATGATGACAAGAATGTGAGGGCTCTAAACTGTATGGTACTTGAAAGGGCTCCATGTTCAGTTGGAATCTTAGTGAGTCGTGCTGTAATTCATCATGAAGAAAGAGATTCATCTCTTGAGTTAGCAATGATATTTTTGGGTGGGAATGATGATAGAGAGGCTTTGTGTTTAGCCTATAGAGCAGCAAGGGACCCTACCGTTAACCTTGTGGTGTATCACATTGTAGCAGAGAACAACGACGGAATACCAGACTTGGATACTATGATTGATATAGGAATGTTGAAAGATGCTAAGAACGAACGTATGGGAAATGTGAATTATAGAGAAATACAAGTGGAGGGTGGTATCCAAACAGTTTCAATGCTACGTCAAATTGTGAATGTGCACGACTTTATTATAGTTGGGAGAAGACATGGCATTGACTCTCTTCAAACAAGAGGGCTTCAAGAATGGAGTGAGTTTTCAGAATTGGGTCTAATTGGAGATTTTCTTGCTTCCGCGGATCTTGAATGCAATTCATCTGTTTTGGTCGTGCAGCAGCAACAACAACACATTTAGTATATCACAGTAATGCTAGGTATTTTGGTCGCATGAAAAGAATGGGGGAATGTTTTTATTTTTTTTACTAGCAGAATTTCATAATGCATAATGACTTGCATATTATTGTAAATATCTATTAATAGACTGTAAATGATCATAAGTCAAAAAGGAAAGTGACTTCAAATATTGAAATGCCCAAAAAATGAGGAAATGTAAGAATAAAAAACAAGGTTACACCAGAATCAAGTTATAGATAAAAGAAGATTTGGAAGCAATATGGAAAAGAATTTAGGTGGTTAATAAATAAAATGCTATGCTGACAACAGTTTAAGGAAGTGTATTCATGAGTAGATTAGAATTTTGGCAGTCAAAGAACACGAAACAGCAAGCATATATAACTATTGCAAACCGGTTATTAAGTACAAAAAATAAGGACAATATCTTATACTGGTACTTTTGCTTAATTTGACTACCATGTTTAGAGCACAATTTATAATTTCTGGCATCAACCTGAAAACGGAGGGAATATATTTCAATATGTAATACCAAAAATGCTTACATCCAATTAATAAATTAACATTTAAAGCACTATATCAAAATGTTTCCTGTGCAGGGTGACAAGGGCAGAGAAAATAAGCAAACTTCTTTTCCCAGTCTTCAATCATGTCAAATATCCATCTTCTTGAGTGACCATACAATCAAAAGCTCAAATAAGACAAAATGCTCATTAGGTCCATTAACATCCCAAGCGCTGACGAGGGCGGGGAGTGATCGTCGGTGCGTAAGGGCACAAACAAGGAGTGGCTCCTGGCAGGCTTCCAGCGGCGGAGGGTACATGAATGAATCGAATCGACACCCGAAAGAGAAGGATTCCAGAGACGGCAAAAAAATTTATTTATTGCATTTTAATTAAATAATTACGCATTTATGACAGTTCGGGAAAAAAATACAAATGTACTGCACAATGTGACGCCACTTTTGGGCGTCACATGTGACGCTCAAAAGTGGCGTCACATTTGTACACCCTATATAATCCCCACCCAGATCTAAAGGAGAATATGGCAACCACCCATGTCAGATTGACCGGCATCTGTCAATTCACACAAATTCCTGAACAAGTGTGACAGAACCGCAGATCCCCAGCTGAATCGGCCAATGTCATCAAATCCTCCCCCAAGCAACGGGACTAGCCGACAACCGAAATTGCTGCCTCCAGACTTGTCCGCCAGCAACCAAGAACCCAGCATCCTGGCAATGTGTGCCTTTGTGAAGTAGATCTCGGCATCATGATCCCCGGCATGATCGGTCCACCGGGTATATAACCGATCTAAGTATGAGATACGCAGGTCGCCTGAATGATGGAACTCATTTGGCTGTGGAACTGCGCCAAATACAGCCCCACAAGCAGCGGGCCAATCCTTAGAGGTAGAGCCGGTGACGACAGCCCCGTCAGTAGGCAAGCTCAATATGCCTGCCACATCTTGCAAGGTGATAGTCATCTCACCTTGGGTCATGTGGAAAGTAGGTGTCTCTGGTCTCCACCTCTCGACCAGAGCACTAATTAAAGGGGCATCGATCTGTGATAAATTAATACATTTCAGCGTGTTAACGAATGGTATTGAATAATTACATAAATACAAAACAACGTAAATTGCATACCTGGATATGTCGCATCCGGGCAACATGTATAAATCCAGCCTATGTCAGGTAGTCTGCGACAACCTCTGGGATAGCGCCGGTAGATGGCCCCCCCGTCGGCTTCCCATGCCTGGTCTTTATTTTCTTGACATGCTCCGTATTCCACACTCGCTGTGAAATATGAGCACGCTGCGTCCTCTTACGAAGGACGTCCCATCTGTACGGCCTGGGTAAGATGTACATGCTGGGATCGGTAGGCTCTACATCCGATGCAGAACCCGATGAAGATGATGAATCAACCATTACCCTCAACTATATCATATAAAACAACATTTAAATTAATCACATGTAATGCCTCATTTAATTTACAAATTAATTAAGCAATGCCATAATTTATTATCAAATATTTAAGCATATGCGTCATTTATTTTACTAGAATCGAAATTAATGAAATAATGTTAATACTATTAACAGTCATTTATTTGTAATTAAATAATAAAAAAACATTGGACAAAAATAATATAATACTTACAGAATACTTAACCCTAGGTCACTAATAACTTCATAAATATATACTAATAATCACACCTAACTGACTACAAAATTATGAATACACTCCTGCATTAATAACATCATACATACAAAATTTACGAAGTCGCTATCACTATTTTCTAAATCACTAATTAATACGCTAAACCCTAATGCATAATTAAATATTAATAATAATAACTACGTAACAAAAAAAGGGAAGTATCATTACAACATTCATAGCATGGCATATTCATTTCTAAGTGACTATCCTAATGTTCTAAGTCTCTAATATACGATCAATCCTAACATGTATTACTAACTACCACTGTAATTTAAACGTATACATAGGAGGTATTACGACCTTACCTAAGTTGGCAGAGCTTCGCTACGAACCGTGGTTAGAGAGAGGTAGAGAGAGGTGAATGAGTGAGGAGTGAAATGGTGAAATGGGGAATTATATAGATGCACCATGAGACGCCCCTTTTGGGCCTCACATATGACGCCTCTTTGGGGCGTCTTCTCCTTCATGAGAGACGCCTCACTGGGGCGTCACATGTGACGCCCAAAAGAGGCGTCACAGTGTGCAATAGATCTGTAATTATTCCCCAAATAGCAATAAATGCGTAATTTTTTAATTAAAATGCAATAAATAAATTTTTTTGCCTTCTAGAGACTGTGCTGGTATAGGACAGTACAGATGAGGATAGCTTAAAAGAATTAATTGGTACTACCTATACTAACAAGATGCATATACTTTTCGATAGCCCGGAACAGAAGAACTCCATAGTTAAGCGTGCTTGACTTGCAGTAATTCTGGTATGAGTGACCTCCTGGAAAGTTTTTCCGAGAAATGTGCGAGTGAGAAAAAAGCACACTGAAAAGTCTCGTGTTAGTATGTGGGGATAATCATTGATTCTTAAAGCGGTTAGGCGTTACAAGTGGTATCAGAGCAGGGCCTCTCTTCCAATACGCCTGACGAGGGCGAGGAGTGATCGCCGGTGCACAAGAGCACAGACAAGGAGCGGTCCTGGCAGGCTTCCAGCGGCAGGATACACGAATGAATCGAATCGACATATAGGACAGTACAGTTGGGGATAGCTTAAAAGAATTAATTGGTACTATCTATACTAACAAGATGCATCTACTTTTCGGTAGCCCGGAATGAAAAAACTCCATAATTAAGCGTGCTTGACTTGCAGTAATTCTGGGATGAGTGACCTCTTGGGAAGTTTTTCCGGAAAGTGTGCGAGAGAAAAAAACATACTGAAAAGTTTCCTATTAGTATGTGAGAATAGTCATTAATTCTTGAAGCGGCCGGGCGTTACAGGTCCGGTGCTAGATCCAACTCATGGGTTACACATCATCTATTATAACAATCACTTAGTAACAGATTACGACCTTACCTATAAGTAGGAGTATCAAATAAAAGTAATGTGACGATTTTAAGAGTCCAAAACATTCAAGGATTCAATTGAGAAAATCGGAAATAGAGGAATCGAATGAAGAAATACTACTTCCAAAGACCGAAAGTGTAGTTTACTCGATAATAAGATCGATTAACATCTAGGCTTCAGGTTCCCCAGATTGAATATTTTCAAATCCAATGCAAACAATAAAGAATTTATAGATTTTTGCATGTCAATTATACACATGTCAAACCATAGCTTACTGCAAAATGAAGGCATTTGCATATAGTGAGAATGACTTTCTCAGTTTCTATTTCTTCTCTGTCATAGGTTGCCAAAGCCTGATCCATACATCATAAAATCCCTCATAAGAAATGGAAATCAAAGCGAAGAAGAAAAATACAATACATTTTCAACAAATCGATGGAATACACCACCAAGCAAAGGCAGAGCCGAAAATTGAACAATTAACAACAATACAGACCAAAAATCAGATATATTATACAGTGATAGATCTGAAGAGTGAAACGAGAAAAAGCAACAGAGAGAATCATCAAAATTGGAAGTGACCTGGCGCGAGAATCAACATCGATCTAAATTTTTCAATTAATTGTTATAATCTTATTAATTACGAAATTAATCTAATACACTAAACTTACTCAAATATTTTTCCTGAAACGGAGTAGCAAGAACCCATTCCTTAGGACAGATAAAATATGAGTATTGCTTATAATAAAACAGATCAAATAAATAACTTTACTTACACACAAAAAAAATAGTATGAATTGATTTACGTTATTTGCATAGTTGAATGGTGTGGTAATTGATGTGGAAGAGCAAAGGGAACTTTTCGAAGCAGCATTTCCATGAAAATCGATGGTGTTGCGAGCAATGTGCCTATGCAAATGTCAAATCTGCCACTACGCGCCAGAGTCCAGACTTGCCATCGACGGCTAGAAAGAGAGTAACTGGGAACCTGTTGAACAGGTAGTCCATGGATCGTATTAATTACATGTTCTCCCCTCAAGTTTTGGAAATTTTTCAAACAGCGCAGTAATGCCACCAAAACCTGATTTTTCTGATGGCCCAATCGGAAATAAAATAAATTTCAGACCCCTGAACCAACGGTTCAGCTGACATGGCATAACATTTCAACGGTTGTAATCAGTGTTTTAAAACTTAGACCAGTTGATATTGGGTTACTGATTTAATCGGGTTCAACCGATTTTACTGTTCACATATTAAAAATATAAAAATATTACTTATATTAATAAAAATTACAGAAGAAAACTATCTATGAGCTTCAAAAAATGAATTGGTTTTCAAAGATAGCAAATATTATATACTTCTAAGCTTCTAGCTCTAGACCGTTGAGATGAGATCATGAGACCATCAGTGTTTATCACCACTTAACTTCATGAGATCATTATAAGTTGCAACCAAATTACATAAACGAACTACACTAATCTAAAATACCTTATTATTTTCACCTTATTTTTAATCATATTCATCATAAAATATAAATATGATTTAATTCAAGAGTTCTTATCTACAAAAAAAAAAAAATTACCAAAAAAAGAAGAAGGAAAAAACGGTTTAACCCGAGTCAATCGGGTCGCCAGGTTTCGGCCGGGTCAACCGGTCCAATCCGAGCTGATTGCATAACCGGTCTAACTACGCGCTCGGACCGGAAAACCCATCGGGTCACCGAGTCCCGGGTCGACCCAGCCGGTCCGAGCCGGGATTTAAAACACTGGTAGTCACTAAGTCCAACAGGTTCGGTAGGAATTGATCCAACATTTTTAATTAATATGAATCAGCCAATATATTTTAGAAGATTAATTTAACTAAATTTGAACTTCTGGATTTGATTTAAGCCTAAGTAAGACTTCAGCTTTTTGAAATATATATTTAATTATTAAAGTTAGGTTTTAATATTAAAATTATCTATATTCACTTCCAAAACGACGTTGTTTTGAGTTAAAAAATTAAAAAATTATATTGAATAAAATTATTATAATCCTGAAATAAATTATAATTACAAAAATACTTTAATTTTCGTCTCATAACGACATCGTTTTAGACTCGTAAATAACTTATCTATATTAAGTGCAGAATGAAACCTAAAGTAAAGGTTTATACTTCTAACAAAACTCATTTAGCTTATATATATATATTGGCTTATTTATTTATAATTTAGATATATATATTCAAAATTTAATAATATTTACATAATTTACATATTATAATAATAAAAAAATTTAATTACAAAATGTAATTACATTTACGTAAAAGCAACAACGTAGCCATGTTGAGACCAGCCAGTGCCTTGGCACTGGCTTGGTTTTCAGAAATGATTCACTGTCCATTGTAATCTTGGTAGGGATAAACACAAGAAATTTCTTGGGCACTGGCTTGGTTTCAAAAAAGATTGTGAAAAAGATTTTCAAGTCTTGTTCTTCTTTTGCTAAAGATTCGAACTTTACAGAGAGTCATAAAAAGGGATATAATAAGTTTTGAGAAAATTTGAGTAGTTAGCTAAGAGAAAGAGTGGTGGGGTTTGTTGGGGTAGATGGTAGGAGAAGATGAAGAAGGAGAAGATGGACAATTTCATGGAACACGTGGCATTCATGTGAGTATATTGTTGTGTGTTGGGTTCCTTATTTTTCTGTTTGTTTCTGGGCTAGGCCCCCACTTTTCATCAAAAAATTAAAATTTAAGAAACTTTAGATTTTCTATGAGCTTATCTACCACTTTGTCGGTAATAAGAATTTTTTAATATTGTAAATTGTAGTTTGTAAAAGAATTATTAAGAAATCAAGATAATGATACCAAATTATGTCTAATAATTTCTTTTTTTACTTATTTTAAGAATTGAATTTTTTTTCTCTTTTTATATTATAATATTCTTTCTTCTTTCTAGTATTTAATTGATTACTTGGCCGAACAAGAAAAATAATAAAAATTTGGTTATTAAAAAAAAAAATTGGCACTACCTGATTATTTCGCGTGGCTCCGCCACTGCGTAAAAGGTATTGTTGATTACAAAATAAAATAAATGAAGTATATTTATTATCTTACAAAATTGATAAAGGCGCTAATATTTAATATTTATAATTATATGACTAGATTTTGTTTTATTTATTTGTAACAATATTTAGTTGTATGAATATAATAAAAAAATATTGATTTTGTTTTTACACATTAAGTGACTTCAATTTAACATTAAAAATAGAATTTTTTTAAATTCTCCGTGTAAATCTTTAACCCTTCCCCCTCTTACTAGGATTATAGAATGTTTTTGTAAATTATGTTCAATACGGAATATATAAGTAGTGATCTCAAATTTAAAGATTAAGCTTGCGCTGACAACTTTATGTAAGACAAAGTTTGCTTTTTTGAGAGTGATAATGAAAAAGTTGATAAAAAAGTCACTATTACCGTCACTCTATATAACTGTATATGAGATTTTCACCTCATATGGATCCTCGTCTAAAAAGAAATGAAATAAGAAAAATGAAAGAAATTAAAGTGAACAGAGATTGCTATATGACATAGAGCTCTTCATTTTCTCCAGATGAGGCCTGTTTTCCATTATACTCACTAGTCACCAAATGTTCATAGGTCAAAATATTAGAGAGCATGCAGCTTAATTGTACATTGCTTTGCAGAGTTTCTGACCATTTATCAAGAGGCACGAAAACTGAGAACTTGGTCTACCCCCTCATGAAATTTAATTAGTTACCCTTATCAGATTTGTCTTTAAACATCCTGAAGCTTAATGCATTTAGTAATGCTCTTGAATACTGCCGAGAAGCCATTTTCCAATCCCCTCCTGTCTTCATCATTGCCTTGAACTCCTCAAAACTGATTCGACCATCCTTTAACAAAACAAAAGCAAAACAATAATTGAATGTAAAAACTGAAGAAGAACACAGTATTTGGTTACAAAGGTATTAAGTTGGACAAAGTTTTGTTACCTTATCTAAGTCGACATCATTGATAATGTCTTTGATCACTTGGTCATTAATACTGGCTCCTGGGTCATCATTAGATAAGGCATCTTTCAACTCCTCAAACTCAACATATCCGCTCTGATTCTTGTCGAAGTAACTGAATGCTTTAGAGAGATGCTCATCACTTCCTATCTTTCTCAGATGAACACTCATTGTGATGAACTCTTCACAATTAAGGGTGCCGTTTCCATCAATATCTGCCTGTTGTCATCAACAAGGAAGTTTAGTTTTTATTATAATAATTATCATAATAGAGAGAAATCTAAAAAGAATTTTTATTTTTTGGTTATTGCGATCATAAATTGGTTCAAACCGAAGCAATGGTAAAGTTGTTCTTTCATGACTGAAAGGTCATGATTTCGAATTCAAGAAACAGTCTCTTTGAAATTATACAAAAGTAAGGCTGTGTACAAGGATTACCTCCACTCCATACTCGCTAGTCGGGTTTAACGGAGAGTGATCTTTTTGCAATCATAAATTGGTTGCAGGTAAGTCTTAGAGTAGCCTTTAACTTACTATTTTGTGACCATAAGGTCACAAATTCCAATACGAGAAATAGTATGTAAAGATAAGATTGTGTACGATCAACACTTACTCTTTATCTTCGCAAAGTTAGGAAGTCTTGTGAATTGAGATTTACTCATTCATCATAAATTGGTTAATATTATGAACTTTGAAAGTCTCAAAATTTTGTTTTGGATAAAGGAAATCAGCCAAAGCTTCCTTTCCATTGAGTTATAATCGTTTAGTTATTATATTATTGCAATCAAATATGGGAAATATAAAAATCATGTTACAGGAATGGCGTCATTCCTGCAACAAGGATCTGCGTCCGTATCTTAAGGATACGGCGTCGTATCTTGATTTTGGTCTAACTTTTTTTTTTTAAGCATGGGACCCACATTTGATTTGTGGGTGCAAGAAAGTGCTCTAGTCATCTCACATGACAAAGCGAACCCATCAAATATAGTGATCTCTTATCCCACATTTGCATGACTTTTAACATTGTAAAGAACTTACAGCATCCATTAACATCTGGACATCAGGATCAGGAATAGCATGTCCAATCATTGAAAGGCCATCTTTGAGCTCGTCAAATGACAAGTTTCCGTTTTTGTCCTTGTCCATCATATCAAACATTTGCTTAAACCCATCTACTTGCTCATCTGGCAGGTTATCGGCCACCACCTGAAGAGAGATCAAATTTAAGTGTAGGCTACTTTTAAGGAAGCAATCTCTGACATATCAAAAGAGATTCTGAAACTTACTTGAAGAACTTTCTTTTTGAATCTGTTCATCAAGGAGAATTGCTTGATCCTCATTCTCACTTGGTCTCCAAGAGAAATATTTCGACCATGCTCCCTATGTTGTATCCAGGAATGTTCTTCACACACAAGAAAATAATTATCATTACAGGTTTTCCTTGTAATCAAAATTCAATTTATCAATCTTCAACACATCAACTTTTAGGGACAACTTAAGTAATTCTTTTTGCCAAGCCAAATTACTCCAACATATGTAACAATTTACTTCAATTCTAAACATAATATTTTAGTGTGGCATGTCAATCATGTCCATACAGTGATAATTCTATCACTTCCTATACCAATGTTATTTTTCTCTCGTCACTCATTAATTCGTTTATAAATGATTATGATAATTTCACATGACATGGTCACGTTAAATAACACGTAAACGTATACTTAAGTACCACTAAAGAATATACTTAAAAAATCAATCATTCGGATACATACCAAGGACTTCTTGAACTGTTATCCGGGTGTATGGATTTGGATCAAGCATACGCTTAACAAGGTCTATGGCTTCGTCTGAAACTTTAGGCCAAGGATCTCTTGTGAAATCTATATTACCCCGGATGATAGCCTGGGCAATCCCTTCCTCAGTTTCTGTACTAGTTATGATCCCATTATTAGAAACAACTCCATGAAACAAAAAAACTTTCGGTAAAGGGACTTTTTACTTGTTTTTTCGAGTTTTCTTCAAATACATTATATATTAAGCAAAAATGGGACCTACCTGCCCAAAAGGGTGGAACTCCACAAAGTAAAATATAAAGAATTACGCCTGTGCTCCAAATATCAATTTCAGTTCCGTAGTTACGTCTTAAAACCTCAGGAGCCATGTAATAGGGACTTCCAACAATTTCATTGAATCTTTCTCCTGTAACCACATTGTAAAGTCGTTATTTATTTATTTATTTTTTTAATACTTTTTAGCAGTGAAAACTTCCATACAAAACAATACTATAGTCCTTTAAGTAAAATCATAATAAAACTTTACCAGGCACATAGAAGGTGGAAAGCCCAAAATCAATTGCCTTTAATGAAGAACCCTCCGTTCCATCAGCAAATAAGAAATTCTCAGGTTTTAAGTCCCTATGTATCACGCCATGCTCATGGCACACCTGCAAAATGTACAACAACAACAACAAAAATCGTTCGCACAAATGAGAGAAAAATAGAAAAAATATGTGACTAATAATATTTAAGCTGTGTGAGAATATATAACAATTATTATATGTCTAACAAGTTCCCTCCCACAGTCCTATAAACTTGAAGGGCGCACAATACACTGTTGTTTCCTTTACTGTTAGTGTATTTTCCCTTTCTTCTTTGTAATTGTATCTGATTTACTGTTATCAGTTTGTAATTGTCTCTAGAAAAATATATAAAATCTGATTATTCAGGCGAAGTCCTTAGTTCTCTGTTGTTAGTAGTAAATGGGTTAGCCAGTCTAACAGAGGCCTACATCAGGTCAAATCCGACCTATTACATATAGTCGAATAGAATAAAGTCACGCCTAAAAAAAATCCCTACTTAGAAAGCCCTATAAACTTGAAGGTTGCACAATATACATGCACTACTACTCTCTTTGTTAGGAGATTCTAAATTTTTTTATTAAAAAAACAGTTCGGTAAAATAACTATTTATATTAAAGTAGTAAAGAGCTGCTTTCCAAAAATAAAAAAGTAGTAAAGAGCCTGCTCTCCTAATAAGATATCTTCAAGACATATGAACGGAGAAAATTGTCTAGCAGTGGCGGCGAAGCCATTTGGAGATCAGTTAGGCCTTGACATTGGCTGGTTTTCAACAATAATATAGATTTTCTTTAAATATTATTTACAGCCTTGACACTGGATGAGTTTTCAAAAATGGTACTACCGTAGTATTGGCAAAAATTATTTCCCAGCTCCGTCACTATCACTGTGTGGTGTCCAGTCTTTATAATAGGTCCGATAGTGTTCCCACCAAATTAGTCAGATAATCAATCCATGGATCTATATATATATATAAAGAAATTCCCTAGGAATGCATGTGTGATAAAACTTGGTACGAGAGTTTTGCAGCTCAAATAATTCTACTCAGCTTGAATTGAACTAGTCGAATTATGGATAATATTAAAAAAGATTTATTATCTGTCATGTGTTATCTCCTACAACCCACATATAAGTGTGTGAGGTTCATATTTTATTTTTTACTCTCTTCTTTCTTCGTATGATCTTATATGGATCTCACGCACTTTTACGTTACTTTTATGCAGATAAGATATAAAGTCAGAAATTAATCCCTATAAAATAAAAGTAAAATAATAAATGAGCAAAGGAAAAAGGTAGGTAGGTACCTTGCAAACTTCAAGAATGGTCTTGATAACATTAGCAGCGGCACGCTCGGTGTAATGGCCTTTGGCTACGATCCTATCAAAGAGTTCGCCACCTTCGCAAAGCTCCATGACAAGGTAAACAGCGTCTCTATCCTCATATGCCTCTCTGAAGGAAACAATGTTTGGGTGTTTAGGCAAATGCCTCATGATCTGCACCTCTCTCTTCACATCTTGTACATCTATCTCCGTTCTCAGCTTCGTCTTCGCTATCTTCTTACACGCAAATGCCTCACCCGTTCCAATCTCCACACACCGATGCGTCACCCCGAACTCACCTCGCCCAAGCTCCTTCCCCAACTGGTACTTGTCAAATATGTTCCCAGCACTCGGGTTCGAAACCACGTTCACGGGAATACGCGCCGTCACGCTCGACCTACGCGCCGCCGCCGTCGGTGTTGTTACGACCTCATAACTATGATAGCTCTTTGGTTTGTTTAGATCCTTCCTCTTTCGTGTAACCGTTTTCCCTTGCGTTGATATGCAGCTTCCCATGGACGTTATGTTATATATGTTATGTGGATCGATCAATTCACTTTTAATTAATATTAAATAATGTTTTTAAGTTACGTCAACGTTGTTGGTGTTAATAACCTAAACTCCATGGGAAGAGAAAGAAAAAGGAACTTACGGAGGAACAACCTTTTGGAGAATGGGGAAACTCTAAATTGTGAAGAGAGAGGAACAGACAGAGAGAGAATGAAAATGAGAATGAGGAAGGTACTATATTTGGTTTCGGAGCTGGAACATTTGCAAATACTTAGTTGGTCCCGCCATTTTCTTAGGACTGTTATTAAAGCTTCCGTTATTGTTACTTTTTTATTTTTTCACGATTAACTTATATGTGGTGTTTTTGGTCAAAATACTAACACTTTTTAAAGGCATGCAACTCAAATCACAAATAATATTCTCTCTAGGTTGTTATATTTGATGCACAAAATTCGTTTTAGTTTATGGGTTCACTTTTTCTACGGTCAATGTAAATAACTTATCTACAGAGTTCAAAACGACGTCATTTTGAGACAGAAATTAAGATGTTTTTGTAATTATAATTTATTTCAGGGTTATAATAATTTTTTTCATTATAATTTTTAATTTTTCAACCCAAAACGACGCCATTTTGAGAGCGAATGTAGATAACTTATCTACATTCACTTTAGAAACATTAAAGCCTTAGTTTATTTGGATATTCGTTTTACCAATAACAAATATGAATAAAAAGGAAGGGCAAGTTAATTACTATAGTCCTTTAGTTGACTTGAAGTATATAAAAACTTTATATTAAGTTTAGATCAAATTTGTGTCCCCTCAAATTGTTATATTTGTCCTTGTCATCTCTCTCTCTCGTCAATCCAGTTTAACAGTGTGTCAGTGATATTAATTAAGAGAAAGAGCTACAAGAATGAGTTTGATTGGAACTGGGAATGATGCAACTGCTCGCAAATTCTATGTTTGGCTTCTCTGTGAGTGAGAGCACAGGGTCAGGGTCTTATTATATATATAGATGTTCATATCTAAGAACAACTCCACTCATCTTTGCATCAAGTGTGACTTTTACTGTGATTATTCTTCAAAGCCTTATGGATGTTCATCTGAGAGCCCTTATACTCCTCTTAGCACCTAGTGTGATTCTTCACTCAATGGAGTACAATGTAACATATCAGACTATTCATTTTAAAATTCAAAGACGATCATGCGACATAAAACGAAATTTCAACAAGTGGGGCGTAATATGCCCAATTTATGTAAGAAAATGAAACTAGAAAATACAAAATGAAGTTGACTTGAGGCCCCACATAGTAACCCATTGCAAGAAAATGGAAGCATGACGTCAAGGAAACACTTGTCATGCAATATAACAACTGGTATCTTTCCGTATTCCAATTGGAATGGTGAGGACTGAAGCAACTATACAGACAAGACATTTTACAAAGATTAACACTATGAGTGGCCCGGCCTGATATGGTTTTCTGTCAATCTTCTCCAAACCATCCTCCCACAATGAATCAAAGTCAAAATTGCAATGAAATAAAGGAGAGGAATGCCAACATTGCAACCCCCAGGTGCCAAATTTACCAAAGTCTGAGTAAGGAAACAGCAAGTCAATTAAATCAATATAGTTTTGAGTATTAATTGAAGGAAAAAATAAAATATCATAAGGAAATCATAATTACATTTCTAATTAATAAAAGTAATTCAAAGTATATCCAGGGGACCTTTTCTATTGTAGTTTCATTGTTTTCTGGAACTTATCCAAATTTAAGCAGATAAGTAAGTACCACTGGATGATACATTATCAGTAACAAAATTGCGCTGTACGGAAGTCAAAGTCATTTGTGAGCTATTCAAGCTTCACTCACTATACTCTGTTTCGCTTGATTAGTTATCAAATAAGAAAGGCATTCACCATGCTCATTTTATAACTACAATGACGTAGATGAACGGCTTTTTCTATGGTCAATGCATGGCTTCATTAAGGCAGTGAGTAATTTATTTATATCTCAGTCATACATCCTACAATAATTGTGTTAATTCTCTTGCCAACTTCAAAAATCTACTAAACAACAAAAGTTTTACTAACTAAACTACACTGAGATCAGTGAGCTGATTTTTCTATTTTAATGTTTTTATCAGATCAATATATGCTTTTAGTTTGCCAGTTGCATTCTTAATGTATAAGAGAACTGCACTATTGCCCAACAAACTATAACACCATCTGATACCAAAAAGTATATGGCCGCACCAAGTTAAAGCAAAGTCAGGAAAACTGTCGAACCCAACAAACTAAAACAAAAGCAACATAGCAGTAGTTTAGTTGCAGTATCACTGTATCACTAGTTGAGCTATAAAGCATTTAAAAAAAAATTGTTTTATATATGAATTGGAGTTTAAGATATTTTAAGGTATTCACCTTGCTGCAGTACTAGAAAGACTCATTCCACATCACTGTTCTGAGTGTTTCTAATCATAGTCATGTGTTTTTTAATATTGAAGGGATGAATTAGGTTCTAAATCTCCAGGTAATCTAAAAAACAAGCTCCAAAAAGATTTAATTTAAACTATGTCATAAAATAAATTGAAGACCGTCGATTTTTCCATTAAATTATTTGGACTCAAGTTCATTAGTTGGACAACAAAGGCTATGGTATACCGTATACCTTTGCGTTATTACTCAGGCTACTTACGAGTTACCGTTGTAAATTATAGTGCATAAAATTATGTTTGCAAAGAGCGAGATTTTACCACCATTCCTGCAACAACGTGAACAATGGGAACAAAATATTGGTCCACTTTGTTCCCCTCAGCGTACCCATTAAATGCAATGACCATTGAGAAAGTGTGGATTGTGACAAATGCAAGAGCAATAATTGCTGCAATGTATAAAAAAAGGGTGAAGTAATTGGATGAAAGAAATGAAATACTAAAAACAAAATATGTCTATATAAATTCAAAAATCCCAGCTACTGTTTTTTATGAACAAGAACTCAGGCTTAATACGAAAGTCCACTTCATTTTCTCTAAACCCAACTCTAATCCATCTCTATAGATTCACATTAATGAAATAAACATGCAGTTAAGCCTCGGGTACAAAAATTTCCAAAATTTTGAAGTCATGCCATTTATATACATGAATATTATAACCAGCAGCAGGGAAAATCTCACCAGAAAGAAGGAAAAATGGAACCTGTGAACACCTGTCAATGAAATATGTAGCAGGACCAAATGAAGGAGTCAAAAGGCTGATGCAGAAGAACACGGCATGGGCCGCACCATGACCTAAACCACCAGCTGTGAAAAATATGCAAAAGATATTTTATTAACAAAAACAGTTTACTATTTATGATATAGATCTTATTCCAATAAGCAACACCTAGCATCTTAACAAATGATTCATTTTTTTTGGTATATCAATATATCATACAATTAAATTCAATCAAGAATCTAGTTAAATGCCAAAAAAATAAATAAATAATCGGGACAAAAAGAGTAAGCAGTATCAGCAAGATTGTTCCAGCCAGCAAATAGTTAATAGACTTATTAAAAGTTGGTCAAACAAATACTTGAGAAACAAAAGCAATCTTAAGGATTGGAAAATAGGCCTGAAAGACCTCCATTTTCTTACCCAGAGCAATCAGCATCTTATCTGTTAAGAAAAGATGTGGTTTTGATACTCTGTCGGCAAAAGCATCTAACATATCTTCCAACCTCCTACACAATACCAACAGTAACAAAAACACAAAACCAGCTTCAGTATACCATAACATTGCAAAACATTGGTCAGAAATTTCCTCATCATATTGTAAAATAATTTCTATAAGCATATAATAATAATAAATCAATTTATAGTAGAAGCTTACTTATATATTTTCCAAAAGAAAAGCCTGAGCCCTTCTTGAAAAGCAACAGATGAGAGTATAAGTATTCCGTAAGGCCACCATGCTGTACTATGCAGGGGCAAAAAACCCCTCCATATTCCAGACAGCACAATCAAACTTATTAGCCACAAAAGCGTGCTGCATCAACGAAATTGAATCATCAAAAAAAATCATTATGAACCTAACACACATCAAATGGAGCAGAAAGTTTCATTTGAAAGCCATTATTATAGTAATTAGAAAACCCTAATTAAGCATTGCAAAAGTAATTAATGAAATAAATAGAAGAGCTAGTCATGTTATGTAGTGTGGGTGAGTGAGGTGTAAACTACTAAAAGGCGCGTAAGGTTACGTACCTGGAGAGAACGGTGAGAATCAAGAAGGGCTTTTTGGAAATTACGGAAATGAAGAGGGAGAGAGACGGTCCTAACGCTATCAGAGCGTACCCGATTCCTGCTGCTACCGTCATCTCTCTCTCTCTCTCTCTCTCGAATCTGAGAGTGAATATAAGAACTGACAAAGTAACCAAACACTTCAAAACTCGTTCTCTGCTTAGTTCAGACTTCAGACAAAAACATGAACACCAAGTCATGGATCTTCGGATCCGAATCGTGGTCCCGGGTCGGTTAATGCAACTTTATTGGGCCGAAGAAATTGAACTTCATTCAGTTGGTTGGGCTATTTGAAGAACATAAAAGCCCAAATCCTAGCTACGTAAAGTGCAAAAACAAGTGTCCTCCTTCATTTACGTGATGTGAAATTTAATTTTCAGGGGATGTTTGGTAGGAGAATTTTTTTGAGATTTTCGGTAAAGTGATGGTCGTAATCTTATTTATCTGTGTTTGCCATCAGATTTTTTAAAATATTCTCAAAAATCTGATTTTTTCAGAATTTTATTTTGTATATAATTTTTTTTTCCAAAATGTCATCTAAGAATACCACGTATTCTTAGAATCCCATTAGTTGGAAAAAATTTATACTTTTTTTGTAATAAAATTTCGATAATATTTTCGCCTATCAAACGGCTTCTTGATAATATTTTTGAAAAAATAATTTTTCCATTATATTCTTGGAAATCATAATTTCGGGAAAGAAAAAAAAAAGATTGCGAGGAGTTGACTCACGACATGTATTAGGAGCGAAGTTAGTGTGATCCGGGAGCAAAAAATATTTAGTGGGACTGAGATGAGAAAAAGAGAGAAAAGGTCGAGGAGAGAGGAGAAAGGAGAAAGAAGGAAGAAAAAAAAATTGATCGAAGTGTCAATTTTTTAGTGAAAAGATCATAGTGGTCCTAAACCATATTAAAAAATTCCATGTATTAGAGCTTCTTTGGTGTTCTCGACTTCAAATTTTACTGTTGCTTCTGTTTTAATAGAAAGTTAAATTTCAATACAAATACCATTTTCATGCTTTTTTAACTATGGCACGATGGAGCGTTCACTTAAAAATAATTAGTTTATAATATTATTAGGGGAAAACTTCAAAAAATCCCTATAAATTTCTTTAGAATCACTTACCCCCTCCTCAAAAATTTTAATTGTTTACATCCTTACTTAAATTTTTTTTATCATTTACCCCCCTAACTTGATTTTCCATCAAAGTTAAACTTAACGGTGTTAATTTTTTAAAAAAATATCAAAACTATCCTTAAAAAAAAAATTAAATCCTACACTAATTCGACACCTTATTGCTAGCAAGAGATAAATAGTGGTTCTACCTTGCATTAATCCAAAAGGCATTTACTGATTACTCCAACGGACAATGGTAGGATACTAGGCTCCCATTTACTACAGCGACTACTACGATTGAAATGGATTTTGGCATTCTGCTAATGCCAATAGATCTTCGACTGGAATACATTCTTGAACCTTCAACCATAGTTGTAAGGATTACAGAAGATGTTGAACTAGTAAAATCTCTGAGTTATCTTACCACAGCTTCAACTGTGGGTCACAAGAGTTGCAAAGAGTAGATACCATTTATCATTTGCGTCTCAATTTACGTGTTTGCAATACACTTCATTTGAATTGTTGATTGGGGTCGGTTATTGTCTTATATATATATATTACATTGGTCGCATTTGAATACGATTTCATATAGGATTTGTGATATGAAACTTCGTTTTAATCTTTGTTATAGAGAGAATACAAAACAATCAAATCCAATCGAATAGAATAGAGATTTACCAGCCCAAATCTTTGAGTGCTGTGTGTTTCTTTCAGAACCCGAATTATATAAGTAGCTACCGGCTAATCAGAAGCAGGGGCGGTGGAACGTCAGAATGATTAGGGTTCCACTCCTCAATGACTATCTCTTACCAATAGTAAGGTCTAGTGTTGTGTGTTATTTTTCTTTAAAGGTAGTTTTGGTATTTTTTTAAAAAATTAACACTATTAAGTTTAACTTGGATGGAAAATCAAGTTAGGGGGATAAATGATAAAAAAAGTTTTAAGTAAGGGTGTAAATGATTAAAATTTTTGGGGAGGGGGTAAGTGATTCTGAAGAAACTTATAAAGGGAATTTTTGAAATTTTCCCTATTATTATTCACCTGCTTGAATTGAGTTTTATTTCACATGCCTTATAATATAAAACTATTCATATATCTTCTTTTAAAATCGTATAAATTTTGAGATAGTTAGTTATAATATTTAAAAAGTGAACATGTTAATGGTGAGGGATTTGAAAAATTTTGCATGATGTTATAAATTCAAACCTTATATTATCATGTATCCGGGAAAAAAAAAGTTTAAATTTTTGCTAAATATATTTTCAAATTAAAAACAACTTATCAATCAAGCGATTAATTATGTCAGTAAATAGATCATAATTAACAAGGACAGCTCAATGCCTCAGGCTCACATCGTCGTAAGATCTACAAATGAAAAATGAAAATGTGCATATTTCTTTTACTTCTAGAATCCCTATAATAATCCCTGAACGTTGAATCTGCCAAAAAAATAAATAAATAAAGATGAGAAAGTAAAAAGATCAAGTCTCCATAAATAAAACCAGGTTTCAGATCCTCTTGCCCTCCAATGTTAAGTACGAATATTTCTACAAAATGTACATCTCTAGATGTGGGGCTGATTGAGACCCAAAAAAAAAAGTAACCCAAATCCAAAAGAACTAATTAGGTTAAAGCTTCTTGTTGAGTGTGGACTTTTTGGACTTGGAAGATGGGGTTGAGTTTGAGGTCTCCTTGAACGCTGATGGGCATAACTCATTTATAGTACATTCTCCACAACGAGGTCGTAGAGGTGTACAAATTGTCTGTCCAAACCCTACCTGTGCCACAAAAGAGTATGTCATTAATATGCTACAATGTTGTAAGAAATAAGAAGCCAAAATGAAAAATTTGTTGAGTGGGCACACTCACAATCTGTGTCTGAAGTGAATCCTATCTTACACTAATTTGCCATATAAATTAACTAGGAAAAAGTTCATCGATGCCCCTGTGGTTTGCTTCAGAATCATCTATGTCCTGTGATTTTTTTTTTATCATATATATCCTTGTGCTTTGTAAAAAATAAAAAACCACAGGGGCATATGTGATAAAAAAACATACCCTTTTGCAAATTACAGGGGCATATGTGATAACAAAAAAAAGGCATATGTGATAAAAAAACATACCCTTTTGCAAACCACAGGGGCATATGTGATAAAAAAAAAAAACCACAGGGGCATATGTGATAAAAAACATACCCTTTTGCAAATCACAGGGACATATGTGATAAAAATAAAAACCACCGGAGCATAAATGATTCTAAAGCAAACCACAGTGGCATTGGTGAACTTTTCCCAATTAACTATTGAACCAAAACATTCATAGCAAAATTGTTTATAAGTAGGATTTGGACATACATACCAATAGAGGATTTATTGGATCCCATTCTTCCCTTGGAAGCCACCGTTGCAGTGCCTCTCTTGTCTCTTCAGGTGTCGAAGTTTTCTAGCAAATTGAAGAGGATTAGTCAGAACAAATAAATTAGGTAATAATACCCCATACATAAAATGTGATGCCACAAAACTTAAAAGAAACCTGTTTTGTGCCCAATCTTGACACCCAACCAAGCCGATTGCAAATGCGGTGGACATGAGTATCTACACATATACCTTGGACATTGTTCCATCCACAATTCATAACCTATTGTGCCACTAACAAAATTTACTTCAGAAAAGTAATAAAACATACTGTTTGAATTATAAAAGCTATTACACATACCAAATAAGCCATCTTAGGACCTATGCCTGGAAGTAAGAGTAGTTGCTCAATTGAGCTAGGTATGTCTCCATCATACTTCATGAGACAAATATTTGCAATTTTTTTCAAGTTAGTGGCTTTTCTTGTATAAAACCCAACCTGGAAAAAAGAATATCCATAGGTTCAATCACAGATTCAATTAATACAATCACAAAACAAGCATAAACTTAAAAGAAATTGACACCATAAAGTGCAAGCTAAGGAAATACAGGAATCTTCATAAGATTCCTTAACTTGACACTAAATCCAAACTATTTGAATCACAGGGGAGGCAATATCTTTAAAAGAAACAAGGAACATACAGGGTAAATCAATTTCTTGATGGTTTCTTCATCAGCATTGTTGATTGCATCAGCAGTAAGCAGACCATTTTGAAGAAGACGTTGGATTGCTCCTATTCTTAAAGCACACTTGTAACTAGAACCGTTTCATAAATAAGTTGAAAATATGACAAAGACCAACGTTTTTTAGCAACTGCCACATATGAATCGCATACATCAAGATAGATGGTAAACAAAATCTTGGGGCAAAAAGTACAATGGCTGCATATTTGCTTATTAAATTAGCAATTAACTTGCATTATATTCATTTTCAGAATTCAGTCATCCATATCAAGAAATATAGCAACTATCCATAACTTCCTTCTACTTCTTTTTCTTGTTATGTCATGTTTTCTAAAAAATATGTTTGGTGTTCCAATTTCCTGCATTCTTTTCCCTTTTTCTTCTTCTAACGCTTTGCTATCTTTTAGGTGGTGGATAACATCCTTCTACCGTCACAAGGAGCATTCTTGGTTAATGTTTATTTAAATTACTTCCGATGTAAAAATCCCTTGTTTGAAAATAACCTATAAATCCACTTTCAACAACCTAAAGATGTTGGTAAATAGGTTTTCTCACACTGGTAAACCTACCAGTCTTTCAAGTTTTTTCAAAACTTAAAGACTAGCATATTATCTTATTATGCTTAAGCATTATTGCCCAAATCCAAGACTACCCAATTAAAATCGAGACAAGCCACAATAAATCATCACTATCTAGACATTAATAATCTCGTATGACCGACAATGTTTTCAGTTTCTCTCCATTTGCTTTCTTAATATAAGATAAGAGAATTACTAATAATCTTATTGCAGGTTAACGCTGCTTAAGTCTCATACTTCCATGAGGCAAGAGTGTGCCTCTGGGTTTTCGATCTAAAAAAGAAAACAGCACTACTATATAAGAATGCATCACTATGTAAAGCCAGGAAACTTAACAATTTTTTTACTATAAACTTCAGAAGGTATGTGTACTCACCGTGATTAACATGATCCTTGGTTTGGCTTGATAGAAGAGAAGATACCAGGACAGAAAATCTTCTTTCCTAATTATACACATAAGAATTTAGATAAGGGAAAATTTATTTATATCATGCTTCGTACAAAATATAGAAGTTAAAGGAATTACAATGCCCCATTAATTACAACAATTGATTGATTATATATAAAAGAAATTTACCTGACTAAAGACCCTATGAGAAGTCAACCAGTCAATTCAGTACAAGATAATATATACATAGAGTGACGATAGACCAGTCTGGTCATCGTCATCTACTAATTGAATGAGTAATGGCTATACTGGTCGAGGATGACTATTGGTTTACCAAATCAACAGCATTCCTGGTGCTGTCCTTTTTGTGCCCCAAAAGGTTGTGTGGCAAGCCATGCTCTACTCAAATGCATATATTGTAGACACTTTTTCTTCAAAGCATCAAGACAGAAACCAACATATAAATGCTTATATTTTCTCCACATAGATAAAATTAATAGCAGTAGAATACAGAGTCAGACCTTAGGAGGTAGAGTTTCACCAGCTTTCCCACATCCCATAGTGTCTACTGGAGCATCTGCAGAACACCTCATTTTGCGAATCCCCTCAAGTATCTTTTCCCAGTGAGGAGGATATTCACCTATATCATGTATGAACTAAAAAATTTAAGCTTCCTAGACTACATATATGTTGGGTGGATTCTTTTCCTTCATATGCAAACACCTAAAACAATTGCAACTATACACTGTATCACTTCTTAGTTCATACCTCTGGGGATTGGAGAAGCAACTTTGCTTTCCCCCGGAGTCACATCTGAGCCCATTTCTGATTTCCCTGGATAAGAAAGCTATTTTAATGAGAACTCAATCCTATAATCCGAATAGGTGAACATGAGAATGTTTGGTATGTGCAGTGAGTGACTAGGCGGGCATGTCTCAGACACATTCATGCACACTTCTACTTCTACACCTGTTTGGGTAAGACCAACAAATAACAATAGCTAGCAATTACCTTCTCCACCAAGAGCACATCAATATTTCTTAATTATTTACTAATTTCTACAAAGCAGCTAATAAAACAGGCACTAGCATTGTTGGTAGCTAATTATACCTTTCCAAACTCATTCTTCTGTTCCTATTCCTTCTTTGTATTTGGCAATACCCTTCTTCTTCGGCTTTATATATTCACCATAAGTGGGATTCATTTATTCTCAAATCAACATAGTAATTTATAGAACAATTCATTAGAGTCCTAACGAGGGACCGTGCCAGCTGTTGTGAATTTAAATATTCTAGAAGATAAAACATTCCTATATAAGGAGTTCAACATGTCATCAGTGGAAATAGGGCATACCATACCAACACAGCAAACTTTAGGAAAGTGGTACTTACCACACTGAGTTGACTCATTTGCTCCTCCGAATGCAAAATCTTCAATTTCAGGAAGGCCAAACTCCTTTTTAAGCGTAAACTGATAAAGCATCAAAAGTTACTCATTGCAGATCACAACTAATAAACTTTCATTGCAAGTCGAAAACTTTATTATAACACCACGGAAATGCGAATGCTAAGGATTCACAAATTTGATTTGACATTCCTATAAAAAAAAATGATAAAAAAAAAAACTGTGATGTGCAAATCGTGGAATATTCATTGAGACACCCATCACCCATTGATCCATTTATGCGAAAACGAGAAACCAATGATGAAAAGGTTCATACTTTGTGGTGCTGGGTTGGGGGTAGATGCTCCTTTGGTTGAAGTTCCACCGTCATTCTGGCTCTCTTATTTCTCCTCATAAAAACACGAACTTGGGACGCTGAAGCGCCGCACGTGGAGTCGGAGGAGCCTTCAAAAACCGAAGTGGGTGTGTTGGTATTTGAGGAAGTGGCTTTGTAAAAGCTTCGAGTTGTCTCAGACATGAAGACTTTGATTCGCCCCAAACCAAACCAAGGAGGAGCAACGGAAACGACCAACATTTGAGGCTTGGTGTTTATTGATTACAATTACAATGCACCTAATTAATTATATTCTTTCTATTTCAAAATAATAATGACTTTTGCATTTTGTATAAGGGTTTAATTTAAGGTGTGTTATATTAAGGCTTTATTAATTTAATTTAACGTGTTATAAAAAAAAAATGGGTGGATTCCGTTGTTATAGGAAAAAAAGAAAGATGGGAGGTGCAAAAATAAAAGTAAGAGAGTATAAGAGAAGTTATCTTATATGAAAGAAGAGTAATATTTTTTTTTATATTATAGTAGATAAAATTATCTATTATATATATATATAAAAGTATGTGTAAAAGATAATTTTTTTTTTTATAAAAAAATATCATACCCATATATATATATATATATATTCTCTCACCCCTCTATGGTTATTTACACCCAAATTTTATTTTTTTCTATTTTTAATAAAAGGGTAAATACTCCTATAGCATAGAAGATATGCTCCCTTATTGAAGTTTCCTTTACCAGCATGATGTCAACCTTTCCCTGAATCAAAAACTAAATACTACGTGGTGTTTGGTTGAAGTTAAAATTTATGTTCGCCGAGAAAATGTAATTACCAGGGATTTACAGAAAAAGTGAGTTAGATAGGAAAGTTAAAAAAAAGTTGTTTGGTTGAGCCAAATATTACCAAGTAAATTGATTAAAGTTTTTGAAATCTATGTTTGATCGAAGACAAAATATTGATGGATAAATGAGATATAATTACAAATACTATCCTAACATTAATACATGAGGATATTATGGTCTCATTTGGATTGCACTCGGCTTCATTTAGTTGGCTAAATATGGAACACCGCCTCCAACTTGTCTTTCCTAACAGTGCTCATTGCTTGCTTTCTTCGACCAAATGTTGATTGCTATGCAAATATAATAGATGGGAAAATTGAAAGAAACGGTCTACCAAATATGGGTGTCTAACTTTCCCAATTTCATTTGCATAGCCAAATTTTAAAAAACTCCGAACCAAACATCATATATATTGATACGAGGGAATGTTAACAAAATAAACTACAAATTTAGTAAATATTTGTAATAAAATTATAATTCTCTCATTTATTTTTTTTGGTTAAAATAATTCTCTCATTAATTATTGTGTCCAAGTGGTTAAGGATTGTTGATGGTTCCTCTTCATTATACTCGGGTGGACAGTAAATTGTGATACGATAAGATGTTTAAGTTAGTAATTGAATGAGGCGTGAGGTGGAATATATAGAATGGAATAATATTGTGTATCTAAAAATTCATGCCTTTATATGAAATGAATACATAATCATTTTTTCACGTAAAAAAATCCAAATTCACACGCAAGCGATACGACATACACTCAATTTGTGTAAGTTGTCGAGAGGGGGGCGGGGGTTTGTGTCAATGTAGTGCAATGTTGGGGTCAATCAGTAAGAGTTTAAATCAAATATCATTGTGTATTTCGTGGATTAACAATTGGGTTGCCTAGATGGGTCTGATTGGGAGCCAATATATTTGTTGAATAACGAGAGAGAAGAAAAGAACATTTGAAATAAAACTGTGTGTATTGATATGAATAAGAATGTACAATATATAGACATACTAATGGGCTAAGCCCAAACCTAATACAATCAGACCTAATACAAAACCTTAATGAAATAAGAAAAATACTAATTACAATATATTTCTAACACTCTCCCTCAAGCTGGAGCGTATAGGTCATATGCACCAAGATTAAATTGATGTGGAAATTATGAAAAATATTTGAGAAAACTTTCCAATTATAAAGATTGTGACAAGATTGAATTTTATTGATTGTGTATGATTGTAATAAATAATAGTGGGAAGATAGCTTTTGGGACAACCTTTGGGCTTTATGCCTTTGATATTTATTTGATGTGACAATGATGTTTCCGTTCTTCCCAATTTGATGTGACAATGATGTTTCTGTTCTTCCCAAAGTGGTATCTGGCAATAGGGTTTCCCGGGGTACTAGTAGCAACTTTGGGAATAGATGTGCACACTAGGATTTGATATTTTGTTGATGGCCAATTTTGATTATACGTGGCTGGCAACAGGGTTTTCCGAGTCACAGGGTAGACTGGCAACAGGGTTTTCCGGGTCCGGGTCTACCATGGTTCTCTTCCCACTACTACACTAAATAAACTTAATAAAGATTATGAATGATATTTGATTTGATGTGAATACATATTGAAGCTCATAATTTGATGTGATTATGATGAGAATATATATGATGAATATTGAAGTTGATATTTGATCTGATTATGATGAGAATATTTTATATATATGATGAAGTTGATATTTGATTCAATTATTATGAAGTTATATATTTAATTTGATTACTATATTTGAGTTGTATAAATTGTGTTTTTGATTATGATTACCAGCTTTGCTGACTGTTTGTGTTTGTGATTGTTTTGCTGCAATGATCCTAATGGGGAGCATATTTTCAGTGATACAGGTTGCAAAAAAAATGGGGCTAGCAGTGGGCAGTGAGGATAATGACTTAGAGAATTTTCAGCCAGTTCAAAATTTTATGTATAAAACAAAGTCTCTGATTTTATTTTAATATTTACGAATGTAATAGAGTTAGGCTTGCACTTGTCCATGCAAAGGTGCGGCGGTAGCATTTCCTCAAATTAGATTTAGATTAGCTTTCGCAATATTTTCTATGATCATAAATAAATAAAATGTGAATTTTGACAATTTCTTTATTATAATAGTGTTTCATAAATTGTTAGAAATTTGAGGGTGTTACAATATTAGCGGAGAACAACTGCTCCTAGCTAAGTGTTATGTTATGTAGAAGTGTTGAGTTATAACTTATAAGTAATATTTAACCCGATTGACACGTGATAGGTCTAGGATGTTCATCGTTCTCGGGTACAATTGTGTCTTTGGTGGCTTGGCACGGATGAATATGCTGATAATGAACCAAACTTATTTTTTTAATAGAGTAAACACCTTTTTTGGTCCCTGGCAATATCCACGAAATCTTTTTTAGTCCCTGACAATAAAAAAGGACTAAATTGGTCCCTAAAAGTATGAAAAAGGACCACGTTAGTGACGGAGGAGTTGACATAAGGACTAACGTGACCCTTTTTTTCATAATTTTAGGGACCAATTTGGTCCTTTTTTATTGCCAAGAACTAAAAAGGATTTTGTAGATATTGTCAGGGACCAAAAATGATGTTTACTCTTTTTAATATTATTTCGCTTGTTTTTTTACCATACACAATGCTTCACTTTCATATTCAATCATGTACAAAATCATTATACAAGCTGTAATATTAACAAAACCTATGAAATTTGGACAATTACTACGTCTGATCTAATTTATTGAACTATAATTTTTCAGTCTAATATTTATATATGGTTGTTGTATCAATTCATAACTGATTTAAAAAAATAAATCTGTTCATTTCTTCAAATTATATTGGTTTTTCGTGTTTAGATTCCCAAACTTAATTATCTTTTATAGTTTAATTCAGTCGGCTAAAAGAATTGAACTGAACCAAATATGTGGGAATATTGAATTGTAAGAAGGAATTCATACCTAAACAACTTATTTTTTTTAGTTAACTGATGATATCCTCGTCTCGTAAAATAAGACTAATCATTTTATGATTTGGAATGAGAAGGTTTTAATCATTATTCAAAAAATATTTTTCGCAAAAATCAAACTCATAATTTTATGACTTATCAATTAAACTACACCTTGCGGTTTACCTAAACAACTTTTATTCCTTGGTGTCGATAAGTACTTCTCAAATTTTTATGGTATTTGGATAACAGCTTTAAAAAAAAAACAAAAGCTAATAAAAAAATTAAAATCATGCTTTTTGTAAAAGTTACAAATTTTGACTTTTGAAAAATAGAAAAATATGTGTCATCTTAAAAAATATAAAATATATTATTTTAAATGATAGAAATAAATAAATCATTAGAAAGAGCGGAAAACAAAAAAATAAATATGCAAGTCTCATCTTTTTATAAAAATAAAATGACACAACCAGTTAACAAATATTTTTTCTTTTGAAAAAAAAAAAAGAAAAACCAACTTTCCGAATATTTGTACTCTCACTTCGTTCGACATCTTTCAATACTCCTTCGTTTGCATCTTCTTCAGAGCGCTTCTTTGATGTTTCAACAAACCAGATCTTTACGCACAAGATTTAGGTGAAATTATAATCTCAAAAGAATCAGAATCGTTATTCCCCATTGTAATGGCTCAAAGGAGTTCACCAAACAGGAAGAGAAATGGTTTATATTTAAAAAGTGTTTTTTATTTTAATATCAAAATAACATTTTTACTTAAAAATACTTCTAAATATTATATCTAAACATAAAATAACTTTAATTTTAAAAAATAAAATTCATAAAAAAATTCATTTTTTAAAAATTCATTTAAATGGCCTTTGTGAATTTCATTTTAAGTGCATTTATTTTTCAGATTATTTTTGCCTATAGACTAAATTTTCTAGTGGTGGTAATAAATTATGAGAGCTGATTCGATACATTCGTTTAATCGGTGACATCTTTTGACATATCTTGACATGCACAAAAATATGTACTCCCTTATTAAAAATATAAAAAAAAATTATATAAATGAAAATAATTATAAAAATGAAGTAATATAAATAAATTATTTTTTATCATATTTAATAATAATGTATCGAATGCTGGATATTCTCCTATCACATGTCAATATTTTTGACCTTTTGATATTAACATTTTCTTTTATATTTTTTTTTACAAGCTCCCAATCCGTTTCCTGCAATAATAATGACGAAACTGTGGTTAATGCGTTTGTTCTTGAATTTAAGAAGGGTGTTACTGCTCAACAAACAACTTTTGCCATTTCAAAAGACTCTTTTTTTACAAGAGACTCCATTCAATTGTAATAAGCAGAAGATCAACAACTGAACCAATTTCATTAGACTATTCAAAATATTTGGATAAAATGCAACGAATCACCTCTC